AATTTTTATTTTCAGACAGTGTCTTGCTGAGTCACTAAGTTGCCCAGTGTGGAACTGCATGTGAGATCCTCCTGCCTCAGCCTCTCAGAGTGCTGGGGTTACAGGCATTAAGCCACCAACCATGCTTAACTTCAAGCACCCACCACTTGCTTCTCCAGCTGGAGCACACAGAGGCTGTGGTATAGGCAATGAGGTGGAGGCATTAAATATACAACTTGCAGATTCAGCACATGAAGATTCCCTCCTGGATTTACAACACGATAGATATGTGGTCTTTGCAAGCTATTTATCTCTTAGAAACTTTATTTTCCTCCTCTGCAATTTTGCAATGAAACATCTGTCTCACTTGAAGCTTTAGGTAGGAAAGGTTGAATATTCTAGCCAATGTGAAAATTTAGATGGTATTTTTATACTTAAATGTGCATGGATATCTTAAGATGAAGTCACAATGGACTTGTTTCTGTAGCGGGTCTTCAAGATAGCAAGTGCTCAGGATTTTGAGCTGTTTGAAATCCAGTGCTGGAAAAATTTGAGAAGTAACGCAGAAAGCAGGGTAAGAAAACCCAAGGAGGTCTCTGGGGTGGTGCAGTGGGATCTACCGGGAGCCAAGGGCGGGAGTGAGGAACAGAGACACAGTGCTGTGACTGTGGTAATGTAATTGTCCCAAGTGGTTGGGGATTTAGCTCATTGGTGCTGCCGCCTGCCTCGCAAGCACAAGGCCCGGAGTTCAATCCCAGGTACCAAAGGGGGAAAAAAAAGGTAATAACCAAGTTGCAGATCAACACCCAAGAGCAGTGCTCAGCCCTACCAGGAACAAAAGGATAATGGCCAAGAAATCTCAATGACGGTGAATTTCAGGTAGCTTCATGGCCATGGTATGAAATTTGGGGAGATGTCACATTTTTGTTCTCCTTTCTGGATGACTGGGATGCTCTCCAAGTGAACAGAGACAGCCTCACTGAGCTTTAGATGGAGTTAGAACTTCTACCTGCTTGGCCTTCTTGGGCCAAGGCCTTCACGGGTCTCGTGGGGGCTGGGGCTCATTGGGAGGGAGCTGCATCAGTGTGCAGTGCTCCACTGACCCACATGAGACCCAAGCGAAGAGCTCTGTAACCCCTTCCAAACTTCTGAATTTATGTTACAAGTACAGCCTGCATTTTGGATTTTGCTCATAAAATATAAATCCAAGGATTATAAAATATTTATTCCGAGCTCCTTCTGGTAGAACTGGAAGTGGGGAAAGGATAGTGTTCCATCGGTGGAAACCTGCCATTAGAATGGAACTCTCCCGCTTTTGTAGAGTTCCCTGGGCTGCTGTTCAGACTCATTTTCTTGTCCTAAGGAGAAAGACTCACATCCTTTAGAAAGACAGGCACAACACTGCCACCCTCAGCCTCTGCACCTCCTGATTGTGCCTGGAACAGCTGGCTTCAGGGAACAGTAATTTACCGCCCCTCGCTGGAAGCCTGTGGAGAATTCTTCACTATTCAGAGCTGGGCAAGTGCCAGCCATGTTATTGAAATGGTAATTGAATTTCGGGAGCCCTCTGTGATCCGGCCAGCAGAGCAAGGTCTGCCAAGGCCTGTGAGGTGGGTGCGATGAATACCTTTCCAATAATAATGGATCTTCAAACAAGCTCTGTAGCACACAGCCAAAAGGACAGACTGGCTTGACGATTTGACTGATGATATTGGGCACTGTGGAGTGAAACGTGTCCAGAAACACAGTGATGCGTACTTACAAGGAAGATTTTCAGAGAGAAAATGAACCACCACCCAGTCATCTCTACCAAAAGCTTCTTTAATAATTGCATCAGGTACAGATACGTGCATGACAAATATCTCCTCACATAGCCAGAAATGTCCTTGCCCCATCCTTAACTGAATCTTTGTGTGGTCAATTCCCCAGATAACTTCTGGCGATCATTTTCAACGAAATGTACCTTATCGCTGTACTGGGAATTCAGGGCTTTCAAAATTTCACATTCACAGAATGGTCTCAACAGTCTAACTGCTTTGCAATGCTTTTTCTGAAAGGGAACATTTATAGTTTGGGAACATAGCACGAAAATGAGAGCTGTTGGAATTGTTTTGGTTGCTGAAAATATAACTTGGCCTCTGGAGCTGCGGCACTGTGGAAAGGAAAGCGCTTTGGCTCCCAGCTCAGCAGACCCTGAATTGAGTCCCAGCTCCTTCCTTTGCTGTGTCCTTAATAGGTCACTGATTTCCCTGAGTCTCTCTCTCTCTCTGTAAAAATGAGCACTGACTGAATAAAATTAGGGGCCGTGCTTGGTGCTGCTAAGTACCTATTACCAGCTGTCATTTACAGGGTCTACTAAGTGCCGGGCACGATCCAGTGCTTGTGAGCACATAGGAATGCATACTACTGGGCAGTTAGGACTTAGGGTGACCAACCCAACCCAGGCACCTGGGACAGAACTGATTTTACAACCAAAAAGTCCTGAGTTTCCAGACTCAAACAAGGAGAAAATAGATCAGAGCTTCTGGTCACCTGTCTTCAAGCCACAGAAAGTGAAACTCTGTACTAGGGGTATTGCTGCATACCCTACAGCTGGGAAAAACCAAGCCCAGAACTCAGGCCCAGGCAGGCATCATCCTCCAGCTGTGTTTTCTGCAGTCTCAGTCTCTGTCTGCTCACTCAAGGTCACTTTGCTTGCTCTGTTACCAGGATGGCACGAACTTTGCAAATATTTGTACGCAAGGCCACATTTTCCCAACCCGCAGTGACAATTTCAGGAGTGCGTGTGTGTGCATCTGTGCATATTGAACAGGGAGAAGTCGAGATTAGCGAGCATGAAAGCTTAAAAACCTAACATTTATCTCAAAGAACATTCTACCTCTGGTCAACACACAAACCCTCATTCTTTTATTTATTCAGGAGTTCAACGGGTTTGTAGTGAGGTCCTGCTGCATGTTAGGAGACCAAGACGCGGGCCACAGGATGCTTGTGGTGTGGCATGCAGAATCAGCCACACACTAGTGTGCCAGCCACATGGCTCTCCCTTAAGGCTGCAAGTTTAGATCTGGCTTGTTTTGGGTACCAGCTGTTGCCCCTGATCCAAAGGCTTTTTTTTTTTTAATCAGCCCAAGTGTCACCTTTTCAGAAATAAATTCTATGACTACCTGAAGTTAAACTAGCTACCTAGAAATCCTCCGTATCACCCTGGATTATTTATTCCCTACCTGATATTCATTCTCTTTGCTTATACCCTGCCCTTTACCTGCCTTTCTCAACAGGGTGTAAACACCAGGAAAGAGGCGAAACCTGTTTATCTGATTCTATATTTTATTCACAGCTGTCTTCTCAGAACCTAAAACAATGCTAGGCTCACAGAAGCAATCAGTGAGTATTTGATGAGTGAATAAAATGGATGCATTTAGCATTTTGGGTGCTGGTAGAGGAAGTTAAGGTCACAGGTTCGAGGAGACTGTGCTCGGAGGATCATCTCAGTTCTGCCTTCATTTTCTTTCCTGGTTACAAAGATATTGTATTCTCAGAAAGATGGTAAAGAGATCATAAAACAGGAATCAATATGAGACTGACCTGGCATAATTGCTAATATTTTGCTGCATTTCGTCTCCTAGGTTTCCTTTGATTAGTGCTTGTAGATATTTGTTTTGAATGAAAATAAATCACTCTCCACAGCTCCACACTTTTTTTGGTGTGTTTTCTTGAAATATCATTTCTTACACTCACACCTTAATAATCATTTTTTGTCATTATATATATATCACTATGATTTATCTAGCCAAATCTATATTGTTGGATCTTTAAGCTTTTCCGATTTCTTTTTAGCCATGATGAACATAGTGTTGAACAGCTCCAAAGACAGATACTTTTGACCCACAGGCCCATGTGGTATGTTTAGATGCAATGAAAGTTTGAATTTGAGACCCTCTAGTTTGTTTTAAAGAGTTTTCTCATTAGTAACCTGGGACGTGAAGAACATGTACTTCCTAGGCCATCTTGCAAATGAACAATATGTGCAGATAAAGCCCTCAGCCCAACACAGGAGCACCGCACATCCTAGACCCTCTTTATGATCATCCCCTTGCAAACAAACTCCCACAAGCCCATTTTGCTTTCTAATTCACTTTAAAAACAAAAACTAGACCTACACAAGGATAGGAAGGGGGCTGCAGAGGAACTGAAGTTGGAAAAATAAAGTTCATTTTTTCCTTTAAATAATGGAAGAACATTAGAGCTACACTGCATTACTGCAGAGCACTCAACCTCTACGAGCTGTGACTCACGTTCCCCAGACGGCAGCCTGGTCATGGCTGTGTTCCACGTCATCACGGAAACACAGTTGTCCCTCCGTATCCCCGGGAGACAGTCCAGGAAGTCCGGCACAAACCACAGTCCACAGATGTTCAAGCCCCTTACAGCAAGTGGGACAGCGCTGGCCTATAACTTATGCACATCCTCTTCTATACGCCGAGTAATTTTTAAATTACTTACAGTTCCCACCACAGCGCAAGTACTCCATAAGCAGTCTTACACTGTATTTTTGAGAGAAGAACTACTAGAAAAACTGTACCTGTTGAGTTCAGATGCACCCCACTGTAGGCCTAATTGCACGGCTCATGTGAGGACCAGGGTCAGGCTTGCCCTTCCTCGTATTTTCAGTCCCTGGTTGGTGAATCTGAGGGTCCAGAACTGCTAGGTACAGAGGTTCAGCTCTATGGTTCCCAGCGATCAGTCCCATGGACTGACCCAGGCAGTGTTAATGGGTGCACCTGGGAAACCAGGAGCCCGGGAGCCTTTTAATGAGATGAGGAGGTCAAGGAGGCGAGTTTTGCTGGGTCAGACAGGAAGTTCAGATTTCAAGCCATAGATGTGTGGTGTATGTCTGGGGGAAAATGATCAGGGCAGAACATGAGGTCGGCATTAATGGTGTGGAGAATACGCGAGGCCTTGGCAAAGGCGATGTCTTTTGTTTCGCTTTTGAGGAGGAGGAGAAATTAGAACCTGCCCCAAAACAGCCATCTCGCTTTCAGCAGGTGCTACTGACAATGCTTTATTTAATTCATATTTTTATTTTTAGTAAACAATCAAACTCGGAAGCACAAAAGTAGTACCAGTGTCACACGTGGATAGTGTCATGCTTTTTAGGTCTCATCGGACAAGGAGAGACATTGAAATGAGTATTTTACAAGATGCATAATTTATATTTTCATAAATACTTTAAAGGAGAAAAAAATGGAACACATATGGTGACACTGGAGTGATGAGTGGCTCTAATTTTGCAGCCTATCTTTTAAGCGAGCCTGACCTAGTAGGTGCCCAAGTGCATGTATATGTTCTCGAGTTTGCATAATTAGAACCCAAGACGTGTTTGAGGCATGTCTAACAGTTCTCAACACAAAATCTGTAGTCTTTCACCACCACAGTCGTGCTGATTTTGTTTCCCTTTTTACTTTTTATTTTTTAAAAAAATTCCACATAAAGAACATGGGAGTCATCAGAGGTCCTAACCAGGGGAGCTGGGCCTCAGTTTACTTACTGAGGAGTGGATCCCTGTGGATCTCTTCTGCTTCTACTGAACTAAAACACTAGTGAGGCTCAGCAGCCTGCAGGACAGAGGTGCGTGGGCTGCGAGGGTCCGGTCATTTATGCATTGGGAGTTTTCTGTTGAGCTGCTTTCTAGAGGAAAGGAGTCAGTTTATCTGAAGCAGAGGAAGCTCAGAACCAGTCACTTAATTAACGAACGCCTCACTGCAGTAGATACAGCATGTTTCCTAGCACACAGCTAAATAGAATAATAGTTTCTGGACTTCATGTTGAAGAGTTGTATGTTTCCTTGAGTCTTGGGCTTCTAGGGCAGAGCTGACCTATGCCTGAAGCAAGCCCAGTGGGAAACCAACAAGCTAAACCCGGAACATGGTGAAACATTTGTATGATGACACGTTCAGTGTGACCCTAGACTTCACCATGTCACTCACTACAGTGACATTTTCTTGCAATTGCATTAGTGTCCCTCAAAATAGGATGAGCGTCATGTGATACGGTCTACAAAGGAAATCGTATATCTGACTTCTTAAATCTATAGGAATTTACATTTGTAATAAACATCACAGGAAAGTAAGTCATACCTAAGCCATCTCCTGAGCTTCCCTGGGTTCCGAGTTTACAGTCGCAACACCATTCGTTAAACAAAAGACAGAATCAAGTGACCTCATACGATCACAGAAAAATACACAGCACTCAAGGATGCAGCAAAGGGTCTTCCCTTTTTCGTCTTATGTTCATTCGATGGGGGGGCTCAACAGCCGGCTACAGTCTGCCACTGCAGGTGTTTCTTATACTTCCTTTCCGCTGGTCTTCTGCTCCAGCTGCTGGAGAAAGGCCTCGTTGTTCTTGGGGCAGTTGGTGTGGCAAGTGCAGGTGCCAATGAGCATGACTGGCTTCTGGATGGTCTGCCCCGGTGAGCACTGGAACTCCACCTGGACGGTTTTGGTGTCGTGAGGGGTGCAGCACCGGCCGTCACTGCAGACCCCACAGAACCTGGGCTTGTAGGTGAGCAGGCTGGTGCAGTTCTCATACTGCAGGTGGATGGCCTGGAGCGACTTCTTGGTGCGCAGACACTTTTTTCCTTTCTGAGAAAGGAGAGAAGCCATGCATGGGATGGCTACCATTTTCCCGAGGACTGTTTCACGGGTACGGGGTAACCTTCTAGCTGCCCTCTGAATATCCACTGGTTTTACTTATTTGCTAAAAGAACATTAATTTTGTTAGGTTATGTGGTCACTAAAGAGAGTTCCTTCCCCAGAATATCTTAGAGCTTGGAATGACCTTGGGACACATTTGTGGCCAATGAGAATACAAACTATAAAGACTCTGAGAACGCCTTTGTCTTTTGGACAGGCACAGTTCTTCACCGCTTCCTCTATTCATTTTCTTTCCTGTCTGGAATGGGAACACAGTGCCTAAGTGTATACGATCATCTTTTGCCCTTGAGGGAAAGGATATATGTAACAAAACCTATCTTTATGAAACTGCTGTAACAGTTTCTTTTTTTTTTCCTTTTTGCCAACCACATCTTCAGGTGTCACAAAGAGAAAGGGAGTAAATCTAGAAGGAACAGCTGCCCAACTTTATAGATCAGAAAAAATTTAGTATTGAATTCGTCTGATGAAAAGCCCGTTCGTTCTGTTGTATGATGACCTCAGGGAATTATAAGACAACGGGACTTAAGGTTCTTCTCCATGAAGACGAAGTAGGCAGAGAAGTTGTGGGACAGATCGTGAGGACCCTGGACAGTATGATTCAGCAGAGAGCCGTTTCATCTCTCATTTTGCTGTAATTCTCCACTCCTTGTTTCCGAGGCACAGCCTACAGCTGGTGCAGTGCTTAGGTTCAGGATCCTCCTAACTCAGAGGCACACGAACCGCACTGTGCATCCCAACTGTCTATGTGGGCTGTTCAAACAGATTGTTGGGCCTCGGGTCCAGACCTTCGTATTTAGGGTTTACACTGTGGCCACAGGTGTGCGTGTTCTTACCAGTGCTGAGCTGCTCCCTAAGAACTACTGTCTCAAGGTTAGGAATCTCTTGGAAGTAAGGAAGGAACGACTACTCCGTGAGTATTTCCCTATAACATACGTCTAGGACCTTTCTGAAGTAGGCACACTATAAATAAACAGCTAAACGTGTGCCTTCCAGTATGAAGCGGGGTGCACCTTACAAGAAAGAAATACCAATGTCATGAACAGAGACAACTGAAAAAGCCCAATTTTACAGACATGAAATGAAAAACCTTACTTAGCAAAGAAGCTACTGTGCCCTTGAAAATATTTCAGAGCTTCTTGTTTCTCCTTTTACTTTTTCTCTCTTGCATGTTTTGTGTTTTAATATTTGACACAGATTCTTGTCAACCCTGATAAAAAGGCAGCAGCCAGCGCGCCCCTGAGGTATGTGTGGTGGGAGTGTGTGAGCGCTTGTGTGGGTGAACCTGGACACCTGTGTTATGCACGGCTCCTGGGTGGGGAAGGTGCACCTTTTGGGTACGGTCTCACAGGAAAGGTGTCTCTAAGTATTCTTTCTAAATCGGTAGAACAAACTTAAAGTTAGGACGGGCCAGAAGAAATCCTAGCGCTAAGTGGCTGTTTATGTACTAATATAACCACTAGGATGTGTATTCTACCAGAAATACAAAGTTTAAGAAATGATGACCAATGTTAGCAGTGTTCTTAATCCTAGCTCAGCTCTTGGCTAAGTCACTCTACTTAATCCTCACGGTGGCCCTGAGGTGGGTCCTTTTAATGACCCCATTATACAGGCTGAGAGTTAAGAGAATCATCTAGAACCACACAGCTAATTCACATAGATACGCAGGTGCAGAAGCCAGGCCGTGTGGCTCTGGAGAGGTCCCCTAAGCACAGGAATGGTGACAGTGCTTTGCGGGGAGATACGTAAACCTTGCATTTCCAGGGGGTGTCTCATTTAGGCCCTGGGTGTCCACATGAGGGCTCAGTGTGGCTGCTGCTTATGTCTGGAACGGGCTCTGGTAATGGGGTTGGGATGTCACCAGGAGCCAGCCAGAGCTTCTGACCTCCAAGCCTTGCACAGAGTTAACACAGTTGGTGGACAGAATTCCAGCAAAAGAGAAAGAAATGCACTGTTTAATTTGGCTCCATCTTGCTTTATGCTGGCAAATGGATTATTTCCACCAAGCTATTGAAAATAAGGACACAGTCATTCCCAGACACCCATTCATGTATTCATCAGCAACTGTTTACCTCACAGCAGCCCTCACCTTGCTGCCTCACCCAGCATGAACCTGAGCTCAGGGGTGAAGGAAACTGCACCCTGACCCCCCCTCTCAAGTCAGCTGTGTCTTTCAGCTTGAAGCCAAGTGTTCTCTAGGAGTGGAAGGGGATTTGTCAGCCATTCTCGACTAGGGAAAAGTATTTTAGTTGCCTGGCCCCGACCTCCTTCCTCCTTCCTGTGGATCTGCTGTGAGTTGCGTGGTATTTAAATACAGTGCATGGAAAAGGACAACCGGAAGGCACTCAGCCTGGATTCCGAAATCACTGTGCCTTTTCTCTGGCACAACCCCCCTGGCTAGCACTGACCTTGGAGTCACTACCCTCCTGGGGGTGCCTTCCAGGTCCTACCTTTTCTGGGGGCGGCCCGGGGTCCGCTTCACAGGGCCGCACCATGCAGAGGCGGGTCTGCTTCACCATGTCACACTGGTGGTTCCTGTTGGTGACCCGGCTGGAGATGCCCATGCCGCAGCTCCTGGAGCACGCACTCCACTCTGTGGTCTGCTCAATGCAGTTGATGCTGGAGTCAGAGGGTTTGAGTCCCACGGTGGCTTCTGGCCTGTAGGCTATGGGAGAGAAAGCCCGAACTCTTGGGGACAACGTGGGACATCTGAAGGTGGCTCCTTAGCTGGTGTTAGAAAGTGGATCTTGTCCGGTTCTGTACCAACCGCACTCCTGTGCTTCAAGGGCACAGAATTGGACTTGCAAACCCCACACAGGAAATGCAAAGCTGACGCATCGTAGGACCTGAAACCATCACTGTGTGGTCTGACTGTCCACCTGGCCCCAACATACTTAGGACAACTTGTCCTTAAGAAGCTTGGTAGCGCTAGGAACACAGAACGGTATACCATCACCAACTATTCTGTGAGCTGTACTGTGATCGTGGCAGAGCTGGGGACTGAACCCAGAGCCTGGGGCATGCTGAGCACATACTCTGTCAAAGAGCTACACCCTCAAGCCTTCACAACATGGGATTTTATATGTTCAAAAGACCATGATAAAATTTTAATTTTGATGTATAAGTAGAACTAGCCAAGTCAAAACAGCCATAAAAATAATAGTTTTTTTCACTAGGTAGAAGCTCTCTCTCTCTCTCTCTCTTTCTCTCTCTCTCTCTCTCACACACACACACACACACACACACACACACACACACACACTGTTCTGTCTCAACACTTTACACACAGGGCCTGGGGATATCTCTTCTACATGGCAGTTTTCCAGGCAAGGCTGACAATGTCTGACCTCAGAAAGACTGTAAAACTTGGGGTGCTCCCAATATAAACAATCTGGCTGAAAACAGTATGTAAAATATTCTCGACCCCCACCAAACTGTCATAAGATGATACAGAAAGAACAGGCTCAGGAGTAACATGCGAGCCTTTCTTGGCATCTGGGAAGATGAGATTTTTGTGTGAGGGAGGAGTTGCTGGTTCAGCCAGCACAGGGATAGTATGCAGAATCCAGACAAGGAGGATTCTGATGCTTGTCTTTGTAGTGTGAGTAACGGTCACTTACAGTGGGTGGATTAAAAGGCAAATAAAGCAAAAATAAGACAAAGCAGTAACCGAGTCTGTCAGGTTCTCTTTACGAGGAATTTGCACGGGCTTTGATGACTCAGCTGGATTTGAGGGCGTGTCGAATGCACAGCTGGGTGGCTGATCTCGCCTCAAGTCAAAAGGCCACACCCATGCGCACCTGCCTTTAGCGTGACCATGCGGAGCACGCAGCTTCTCACCTGGCAGGGCGAGGGTTCCCAGCGCCCCCTCCTCACTCGGGCCACACGTCCACTTCTCACAGCACTCTCCCGGAACTGCCACTTTCCTGGGAGCCGGGCAGTCGGGTCGGGGCAGCAGCACGTCCAGCTGGCAGCGGGGCACGCAGCCGATCTGCCCGTCTCTGCAGGTGCAGTGGTACTGGCAGTTGGGCTCAAACCTCTCTCCGCTGCGGTAAATGACCCCATCGAACACGCAGTTGTCTCCTTCTAGCACTGAAATTTGGAGGACGCAGGGCAGAGGGGAGAGAAGGGAGGACAAGAACACAAAGCCCTGCAGGACCCTTGTGAGAACTGGAGGGCACGTTCCAGAGCTGGTGCCTTCCAGTCCCGGTGATGAGGTTTCCTGCGCACCCACAGCCGGGAGAGATGTCCTCCCAGGGGCAAACCCAGGGCCGCCTAGCCTGCCGCGGTCACCTCCACCCTTTGCGTAGGGAAAGGTACACCAAAAGCCTGGAATACTACAATCGAAGCATCAATGGCGTCTACTGCCTTTGGAGATCCCCCAAACCTTTTCTAATTATAAGATAAAACAACGGTGGAGTGACACTCCCAAGGCCACGGAGCGGCTGTTGCCAAAGATAAAGTCATTTTGCAAGAACCACCTTAGATTCTTCTCCTAGGGTAGCTTAGGCTTAAAACAAAAAGTGCACTTCATACCCTCCAGTTCGGTGAAGTGGTCGGACTGGGGCCAGTTAGGGTTTCTTGGCATTGAAACACAATAAATCCTCCAGATTCTGCTGTTCTGGGAGGGCAGCAGGGGCAGCCTCCACTGCCACGGCCTGCCTCGCGGGACATCGATCCCGAATTGATCACATTTCACGAGCCTGGATGGGCTGGCTGGCTGCCTGCACTTGATGTCGGTCTAGTCCGGCCCAGACAGAGGTTACATCTCCCCCCCTCAGGAGGCCAGGAGCTGCCCTGGGCTCCGAGGACAAACACAGGTGTACAAACAAGCCCGGGGGGGCCCGGGGGCGTGGCCTGAGGGCGGGAGAAGGGGAGCAGGCCCCCCGCTGCCTCCCATCCCACCGTCCCCTGGAAAATCCGGAGGAAACGATGGCGCCCACTCTCCCTGCACTTTCCCTCACTCCCGTCCGCTGGGTCCTTCTCCAGGGAGCAGGTCTTATAATTGACACAGTTTGGGGGGATCGCTTCTGTCCCCCGCCCAGTCCCGGGCGCCCCCAGACCACGCGTGAGCGCTCGCCGCCTCTCCGGGGCAGTGAGGGAAGGAGGGCGGGACACAGCGGGCAGCGTTACCCATGCAGACGCCGGTC